TGCATATTTTTGCTTATAACTTCTGAATGGTTTGGCTAAAAATAACAAAACTGGTCTCTTTAGATTCGGTGGAGCATGCCGAGTCGAACCATACCATAATTTTTCCATGTCAGCCATTTTGGGCGTCGGCCATTTTGAATTTTGTCAAAAAATGCAATATTTTAAGAACGCTTAGACTTTGTTATTACGAAAATCAGTATGCATCTTCGGCACCATGCCCTGATGGCACTCAAAAAGTTTGGGCGCAGAAGTTATAAAGCAATTTATAAAAATGCTAATAATTTTTTCGTACATTATAATATTGTAATGAGACTGGTTTGCCTCTGGAGTGCTTGGCCCCGTGATTGCTGCTTGCTGCTATATTTGGTTTTATATTTGATACAGACCAATACAAAAAGCAGCATTAATATTCAAATGAATAGTAAAGGATTATTCAAACTTAATTTAGCAATGACACTTATACAGAGTGACTTTGTATTTTCACTGTCAGCACCTTTCTCATGGGTGTGCTCAAAGGAACAATCTTGGTAACTCATTACTACAACCTTTGGATAACCAACCTGGATCATTAACCACTAGGCCACACCCATTCCAAAAGATGAAAGAATGAACCATCCAATTAAAATGCAAGTTCTCTTTTACGACAGATGCATTTCCTGTTGCTGTTCAGCCGTCAGGGGAAGTTACGGCTGCAGAAATGGTTCCTGCCCCTCCCGGAGAGAGACAGGAAAAAGATTGTGAAGGACATGACCACTATGATGTTGGCACGGAAACCACGCACATGCAACTTCCTGCACTGGAAGGATCTGAAGATTGTCTATAAGAGGTGAGCATTCAACCCAGGCCAAAGGAGAATGTCCTGAAGGAGTATATTTTGGGGGTATATTCAGTATGTGCTCCTCACATATGCATTGTAAAAAAGCATGCTGATTTCAAACAAAATGATGGCGTTTGATTCAGCATTAATTCAACGCCCAGCTGCTAGGCTCTCGTGTTTGGTCATTAGTCGTCACAAGGTGTGAGCAGAAGACTCTAAAATCTTGCAAAGCGGACACCTAGTCAGCAGTCAAGATCTTATGTGGCCTAATTAAAATACAACATGCAAAGGTTTCTGCGTCCATATAGAGTTTGTTGCCCTGTCCTGTCCTTCAGTCCGGTTCTCCTGCCATTACTGATGTCATTAGCTGACGACATGCCACTATCTGAGTCCTCCTTGTTTTCTGGTGAAACCTAGTGGCAGCTTCCTACACAATGGCCCCCTATTACCCAATGGTTTCTGAAAATGGACCCACATGCTCACAATGGGAAATATTAGTGTGTGATATTCCAAGTAAAACAGGACATTGCTTGATTTTGATACATTTTTTATTATTTTATTCTGAATTGATCTGATCATGAAAAATAAGTGTTACATTACTGAATGGAAGTAAACATGACCTGAATATAAAATTGTCTGAATATAAAATGCAAAGAACCACTGAAGAACCTTTGTTTTTGAGGGTGTGAATGGAAGTATTTTAGAGAATTGTGCTTCTGTACTTTAATGCTTCAGAGCCTGGCTACATTCTTGGTCACAGTTCAGATTTTTATGCTGCATCAAATCCTTCTGTCAGGCACTGTAACCTGAGAGTGAGTTTTCACACTTGTGTTCCTGAAATCCTGTAGATGACAATTGTGAGGATAGTGTGTACTATTTTCAGATTTTTTATAAATAAAAATAAACGTCTATATGTTTTTTTACTTGTTTGTAGGTACGCCAGTCTGTATTTCTGCTGTGCTTTGGAGAACCAGGATAATGAACTTCTGGCTTTAGAGATTCTGCACCGTTATGTGGAGCTACTCGACAAATACTTTGGCAATGTAAATGCATTCAGTTTCTTAATTTCTTAGCTCTGGAGCAAATATTTGGTGTATCTGATAAAAGATACTATACAATATATTTTACTATATCCATTTATCCTTTAAGTCTCTTTTATTAAATACATCACATTTTTGTTATTAATTTATTTATTTTTGCATAGACTTGAACACATTATTTTATTCTTTACTCTCTTATTTCATTTACCAATTTCTGTCTTTGTAATATTACAGGTATGTGAGCTGGACATCATCTTTAACTTTGAGAAGGCTTATTTCATCCTGGATGAGTTTCTGATGGGTGGAGAGATTCAGGAGACGTCCAAGCTGTCTATTGCGAAGTCTATAGAGGCCTCCGATATGCTGCAAGAGGTGAGATACTCAATTTGATCTGCATTCAGGTTAATAAAATTGAAAAATTAAACCGAAAATTAAGTTTATTTGTTCAACAGTATTGAAATAGAATTTAAAAAAAAATAGAAAAAATGTAACTTTTTTAATTTTCCATCCGTGTAAATTGCTGTTGTTTTGACAATTTTAAAACATCAAAAATGAGTTCAGGACATGTGGCAATCTCAGTCAGTGTTTCTGAGCCAGACATTTCAGATTGAAAGAACCTGCAGCTGATTTAATGATGCTGTTCAGTTATAGAGCTCTACTTTGGCCGTCACCTTCATAAAACATTATTGATTTGACAGAGAGCGAGAGAGAGAGAGAAATTAATGGATGGCCAGTCTGAGAGTGTGGTTTTACAGAGCAGCTCTCAGTACCACTAAATGCCAGTTTTCCTAGTATGCCTCAAAAAAATGAGACCACATTAAAAGAACAGTTCACCAAAAAATGAAAATGATGTCATTTACGCACGTTCAAAGCTGGCATATTGAGCGCTCATAGGACTATAGCATAAGGGGTATAAATGACATGAGGGTGAATAAATGATGACAGAATTTTCATTTTTGAGTCCATTGTTCCTTTAAAACCCATATGGCATCTAATCATTTGTTGTCCCTATATCATTCTAATAAGCAGGGTCCATACATCTGAAGGAGAGTTCACCTCTGCACAGCACGGGAAACTGAAATATCACTTAACATTATACAAAAGGGTAATCAGTTATGTGCCTGTTTTCTTCTCTTCAGACGATGGAAGAATACATGAGCAAACCAGCCTTCTGACAGCAGCTGACGTGATACAATGTGACAAAAAGGAAAGAAACCTGCCTCCGCAGTGTATGTTGTGTCCTTCAATCAGGACACAATTTTCATTGCAAGAAGTTATAGACTTTATTCATGAGGGCTGCATATTTTTTTTCTTATTTATTGTTTTTTTTTTCTTCTCTGTGCTTGTATGAACATCAAATGAACTCAAATTTTAATGTAACTGAATCAGGGTTCATGTTGTGTTTTTGAATAGGTTATGTCTGGTCAACTTATAAAAAAATAAATGTAATGCAGAATTTCTATGATGGCTCCAGCATGCATGTACACATGCAACCATAGATTTAACCGATAATTTTCAACAGTTCACAGAAAAATGAAAATAATGTGATTTACGCACGTTCAAAGCTGGCATATTGAGCGCTCATAGGACTATAGCATAAGGGGTATAAATGACATGAGGGTGAATAAATGATGACAGAATTTTCATTTTTGAGTCCATTGTTCCTTTAAAACCCATATGGCATCTAATCATTTGTTGTCCCTATATCATTCTAATAAGCAGGGTCCATACATCTGAAGGAGAGTTCACCTCTGCACAGCACGGGAAACTGAAATATCACTTAACATTATACAAAAGGGTAATCAGTTATGTGCCTGTTTTCTTCTCTTCAGACGATGGAAGAATACATGAGCAAACCAGCCTTCTGACAGCAGCTGACGTGATACAATGTGACAAAAAGGAAAGAAACCTGCCTCCGCAGTGTATGTTGTGTCCTTCAATCAGGACACAATTTTCATTGCAAGAAGTTATAGACTTTATTCATGAGGGCTGCATATTTTTTTTCTTATTTATTGTTTTTTTTTTCTTCTCTGTGCTTGTATGAACATCAAATGAACTCAAATTTTAATGTAACTGAATCAGGGTTCATGTTGTGTTTTTGAATAGGTTATGTCTGGTCAACTTATAAAAAAATAAATGTAATGCAGAATTTCTATGATGGCTCCAGCATGCATGTACACATGCAACCATAGATTTAACCGATAATTTTCAACTTTTTATACCAAAATCATTTTATGTAATAATCATATATTTGCAATAACCTTAAACCTTGGCTTATTTGACGTGCCTTTTCATGTTTTTAAACATGTTGCATGTCTCAGGAGACATTTAGCTCAAGAAAGAAAAAAAACACTTTTGAAGGAATGGTAATGCTGCTTTATGAGCACACATTGTTGATATTGTGTTATTAAAATAGTTTTTTGATATGATTTAGTCTCAGTCAAATGTTTGCAATTTTCTCTAATGAAATGCATTCAGTGCTTTCTAAAAAACCTTCCAGCAGTTTATTTTTGTGCACTGTAATGGATTTGTTTTCTATTAATACCTCTTATTATGAGACTATGCTTGTCACTGTTTTAGGTCCTGTATCATCAAGTGGGAATCCTTAGCTTTTCTATGATATCAGATGTAAATATTAATATATGATTGATATTTTTTCTTCTTTTTCAAGATCCAGACCAGCACAGATAAATGTTATGTTTCTTCTTTTTTAAGTGATGGTTGTTTTTGTGTTGAATCATGCATAACTCCGTGTAATAAGGCAGCACAATACAGCGAGAGGAAAAATAATACGGTAATGCTTTATTTATGTTTCTCTTCTCACACTTTAGAACACGTACAAAATGATTTATAAATGAGAATCACATCCATCTTTATTGGTTTGATAATGAAATAGCTTGTAAAGATTGCAGCAAGCGGAGTCCTATGACTACAGGAACTTTCTCTTGATACCAACAAAAGGAACAAGAAAACATTTCGAGGACCACCAATTCATAAACGACATAAAATGCACTTGAACTCCCGCACATTGATATACCATATATATTTACATATAGAATTCCATGAAAACTAAAGCACTTTAAACTGTTTACTTTTTTAAAAATAACTTTTGAGGAGATATAGGCATGTCCCACGAGTAAGCATTTTTTTCCCCCCCGTTCATACTCCGACAAGTCCCTTCTGTGGCAGGATTGGCTAGTAGGAGCTTCTTACAACCAGTTTGCAATTTGGACAGTTCAGAAGTCGTTCATGTAGCCATAGCAACCATATCAAAGAGATAAAAGGTCAAGGGGTGGGACTTGTCAGAATAGGAGCAGGAAAAAAAAAAACATGCTTAGGCTCTTCACATTCCTGCAACCATTTTCCCGTGATACTCTTTACCCTCTTCTGTTCCAGGCACAGGTGGGGTTTGATCTACGGTCTCCTGTGCTGAATCTTGAGTGGGCGGCTTTTGGGGCGCCTCGGGCTCCTCTTTCCCTTGGGTGTCTCTTTTGGTGGGTGTGCTTTTTCCATTATCAACCTGATCAAAGAAATCTTTCATGGCCTCCTCATACAACTCATAAGGCAACTGCCCGTTCATGGTGGAATCAATGGCTCTCTTGCGATCGCTCGAGCTGGTGTCGGGGTATTCAGTCAGGAGCTTGGCTGCGAGGAAGGTCGACTCTTCATCCTCATCAACTGCATCATCATCGTAATCATCTTTTCTTTTGCTTGGAGCTTTGTTTAACTCGGACAGGAACAAGCTTCCCCGTCTTCCGCTGGGGTTGAAGTACTTTGCCATGGCTGTTTTGTAGGGCCTTTGCTTTAGCAAAGAAAATTGTGCGTTTTTGTTGGCCAGATTCCCTAACCCAAGGACTTTCAGGATATCCTCAGTCTTGACATCAGGAGGGACATCACTCACTGTGACTTCTGGCTGTCGACCGTTGTAATACTTGATGACCCGGCCCTTGTACCGAGGTTGGCTGGGCTTCCTAGCCAGCTGGCTCTCAGGAAGGCGTTGTTGTTTTCTGGTTTCCTCCATGAAGAGCATTCCAACCAGGTCCTCTGGAGGTACCTGGAGCTTCATTGAAATAGCTGACAGCAGTTGTTTGATTGCCCTAGGGTCAATTAGAGAGGGTTGGGATAGTAGCCGCCTCCTTCCTTCCATCAGGTCCCGTTTTTGTGCTTGGTTTGTCATCTCCAAGACCTTCAACAAGTAGTAATCCACGAGTTTTGTGTCATCATCTGGGTTCTCATCATTGTCTTCTGTAGGGATAGCTCGTCTTTCAATGACCTCGCCCTGCTCTCTGTTATCTCCTAACCCTCGTTCGTATTCTTCACGGTTTCCTTTAACTACTTCTTCCATCTCGAGCTGCTCCTCTAACGGCACCCATTCCTCCCCTCCGGTCACGTCCTCATATGCAAGGTTCCTAACCTTGTAGAGGTCATCATCGTCTTCGGCGTCTTCATCATCCTGGTTCTCTCGCTTCTGGTTCTGTGCGGCAGACAGTTTACCAAGCTCTTCGAATATAGAGCGCATGTTGGCGAGGCTCTGAGGGGTGTACTGCTCATCCAAATCCTCAGTCGCCCGCTTGTTGTCTCTGCTGTTCTCCTCATCCTCAAACATCAGCGGGAACTTCTTGTGCGGCTTCACAAAGCCCCCGTAGTCTCCAACAGGGCTCTCTGCATCTGCCACTGGGCGTCTGCTCTTGTGAGGACGCCGCTCGTTCCCGGGCGCTGGCTGGCTTTCCGGAGTTTCTCCAGCTTGTTCAAGCACCCGCAGCAGAGATCGAACCCACTGTGGCACCTTGTTATCAGGCCAACGGGTGGCATCCTCACGCGTGGGTGCATTCTCATCCTGTTGGGAGGCGAGCTGCACTAGAAAACGGAATTTGTCTACCTCGTCGTAGTCCCCTGTTGGACTTTCTGATCCATCGGCTCTCTGCTTCAAGCTTTCAATGTACTCTAGAGCTTTGATCATATCGGAGCTGGGGGCAAGGAAGCCACCCTGGTCTCCGCCTCGCAGGCGATGGTGGCGCACAGAAGCGCCCTGCACGGTTAGTGTTTGGAGGAGGGTAACGAGCAGGACCGCCACCCCTCCGGCGGACAATTTCGGTAGTGACAACATCATACCGCCTAGAGATAAACAAGCACAAAAATAGTTAACCCATGCAGTGTTTTTATTTATTTTGCGTCCTTGGTATTTAAAAACAAAATGCATCTAATGTACCTCAAATTCTGTTTGAGTTTAAACTACCAATGAAATCAGTTCTTCGAGTTGCTTTACGACCCAAAATTTGTTTTCCAGACCGAGTAGAAGAGACGCTCCGAGCGCCCAAGCAGCAATGAGATCAGTCAGAACACAACATGTTTTTAAACGACAACATCACCGGATGAGTCACCGCCTGTTGTCAAGGTAACCTTTCACTTGTGGCTACGGATCTCTAAGAACAGATCTATTGATATTTTCACGCATGTTTGTATAGAACAAATCTCGATTAAAAAAAATCAGTCTAGCTGGAATACGATTCGAGCAGATAAACCAGATATGAGATATGCTGCTGATGAGTGATGGTATCTAAGCAAGCAAAGCCGGAAAGAAAAGGAACAAAAGCTCTTTCCCCCTCACAAAGCAGACTAGCGCATATGTTAACTATTTTCACAGAGCATCATTTTGTGAATACAAAAAAATGAAAATGAGCCCTCGTACCTTTTGTGTAGAGCTCAGAGAATGTGAATGAGCGTGAACAGCATGTCCTCCGTGTTGCCTCAATGCGCTTCGGTTGTGTTTCAGCACCGGACAGCTCCCCGCGCTATATGAGGCGGCACCTAACCAATGCGTCACGATGCTCACGCAATAGCGAGGCTGTGCATGCATTCGTAACCATTCACAACGTTTATCTCTGAGAAACTGAACCTCTTGCAATGCATTATCCTCATGGTCTGTTTTAGGTGTGTTTTATTCATAAAGAACGTTTCACTGGGGCGGTACCCTAAGGCACAAAATCTAAAAGGTACTTCTTTGTACCTTATTCACCCCTATATGTTACAGATTAGTACATATTAGTACCTTAAAGGTACATATTAATACCTTTTAAAAGGGTATCTGCCCAGTGACAGTTTTTTTCTTCTTCTGAGAGTGTAAACTATGAAACAGATATACAACAGTTACTTTTTTAAAATCATATTATTTGTATTGAGTAAGAATGAGTATATCATAGGTGTGCAATGTAAAAATGGTTTGTTCGTTGTCTTTCTGTACACACAGGCGTCACAGGCGAGTTAAATCTTCAGGCGATGAGTCACACACACGCACAAACGCACTGTGTGGGACTGTGAGGAGAGCAAGGCCTCTGATAAATATGCATCTGCTGGTTGTGGATCTCTTCCACTGTCCCTAGACACCTACAGTCCCGAGCATTTATTAGATCCTGCAGTGGGGCCTGTCAGCAGCTGAATTATGTGCCCTAGTGACATTTTGCCAAGATGACACTCATTTGTACTTGATCACATTTCCTGGAACACAGACAA